AACCAAATCCCACATCTTCCAGACCTGCACGACCCAGTTTCAACCCCTAAATGCTGCCCGCTCCCCCTCCCCCCGCTCTTGGCTGCTTCGTGAGCTGCCAGGCACGTCCTCCCCCGAACTTGGCCCTGATTATGTCTCCGGTTCTGTCTCAGGGACCTTCCTCTGTACCCTGGAGATACCAGCCCTGCACTGGCCTTGCTTGACGTCTGTAGGAGCTGTCTAGTGCTGCCATGACCACATACTGGGCGGCCTGAAGGGCAGAAACTCAGGCTCACAGATCTGGAGTCAGAAATGCAGACTGAGGATGCCTGCAGGGCCCTGCTCTTTGGCAAAGCTGGAGAGGAGAACCTGTTTGATGTGTTTCTCTTAGCATCTCGTGGCTCCTGTCGATTCTCGATGTTCCTTGGCTCATAAATCCATTATTCCAATCAGGGCCCAACTCCCTCAAATCTACCAACACCTTGTTTTCAAATAAAGTCCCAGGCACAGGTACAGAGGGGTAAAGCTCTCTCCTCCTGCCAGACAACACAATCAACCCACAGCACCCTCCTGTCTACGTCAGGCCAACATGGCAGAGAAAACGTGATGCTGGCCTGATTTACTTTTCTCCCTACAGCATTTTTCACTACTTAAAAATCTGCATTTGTCTGCCCTAAAGAATAGTGGCAGCTGCCTCGATTAGAATCTCTTCACCCGTTCTCCTTAAAATGGTAGTCATGAGCAAGGAGAGAAACAAAACCATCCACGGCTCACGTCTGCAGCCCGTTCAGGAGCTGCAGAACGAGAAGCGGAAGCCAGCCAGCCCCAGGGCAGCACTGGGACGTGCCGGAGCAGCGCCATTTTCTGAGGAACCCGCCCTTCCCCCCAGCAACAGAAGAGGGAGCAAGTGCTCCGCAGAAGCAAGGGCCACGCCAGACTCTCTCCACCTCCGCTGTCCTGCCTGCCGCGGTCCAGGGACACACCCACGTGACGGCTCAAGTGTGGGGAGCAACTGGGAGCAACTCGGACTAGACTAAGTTACTGGAATTAAGACTTATTCTATGCATCTGCTTTCCCACAATATGGCGCTGAGAAGAGAAACAGCTTCTACACAGCTGCCTCCAGTTCAACCAATAAACTGTGGGACCTGCTCCTGATTGGAGGAGAGCAGCGTACTCGGCGTGTGGGTAGCAGAGTTGGGATTGGTGGAAGAGGACTATAAAGGAGGAGAGAGACGGCATGCACTAGGAACATCTAAGGGGAACATCTAAGGGAACACCTGTGCAGCCCCCGAGAGAACCGGCCGGCGGTGTGCCGCTCCCCTGCGGAAGTGGGGAATGTGGCCAGGGGGAACCGCCCTTCCACGGAGGTGGAAGGGATAGTAGCCAACCCGGGAAGAACCAGCAGCGAACCCGGGGAGGGCCGAGCAGACGAAAGAACAGCGCAGGGTCCTGTGTCGTTCCTCCATGAAGAGGGGGAGCGACATAATGGTGCCGTGACTCGGATATGAAGCCTAGGCAGGGCTTAGTGTCGTTCCTCCATGAAGAGGGGGAGCGACATAATGGTGCCGTGACTCGGATAGGAAACCTAGAACGGATAGGAAACCTAGGACGGATATGAAACTTAGGAGGGAAGAAACGGGAAGAACTGGGAAAATACCGGAGAGAGAGACTAGCAAACAGCCTAGGGAAAAGCCGGATGAAAAGGGTGCCGGAAGAAGTTATTGAAAGCCTAGGCATAGACTCGGATATGGACTGTGGGAAAGAAGTTAGGATTGAAAGCGAAAGTGAAAGCTTTCATAGACTCGGATGCAGACTATGGCGGGGAAGCTAGGAGATTGAAAGCGAAAGTGAAACCTGGAGGAGGCTTGGACTCGGATACGGACTGTGGGGAGTAGCCAGGAGAAATGAGAGGAATATTGTTGGAAGAAAACTTAAGGAAACATACCGGGTGGAGAAAAATGTTGGGGAGGATGGGGCCGCGAGTGCAGGCCGAGGCGGAGATATAAGCCACCTTGGAATTCTTCAAGTCACCCCGGGGAGCAAGAGGCGAAGATCTGGAACCAGAGGCAGAGACGTGGGCCGCCAGGTTGAAATTCGCCAGGTTAGTCCGGGGAACTTGGACTGAATGCCGGTGGTGGCGGAAACATTCGCGGAAGCCGCCGCGTGCAGAGAGAGCACGGGGCGTGAATAGATAGGGAACGGGGCTGGCGCGAGGCCGTGGTGCGGACGCGAGGGGCGTGGAGACCGCGGAGCACGCAAAGCCAAGCGCGCAAAGCCGAGCCGCGCAGATGAGAGAGGCGCGGGCTGAAGCGGCTTAGAGCCGGCGAGGCGCCGAGAAGCAGCCTCGGGGCGGAGCCCGCTGGCGGGGCGAGGCACCGGGAAGCCTCACGGAGCCGGAGCCGTGAAGCTGCCGGCAGGGCGAGGCGCCGGGAAGCCGCAGGGATAAGAGAAACAGAAGTTTAGAAGTAAGATGAGAGAAATAGGAATGCTGGAAGATAGAAGTGAAATGGGAGAAATGGGAATGCCCGGAGATAGAGAAATAGAGAAATAGAAAGGCCTCCCCTCAACATGGCAATGAGAAGGCTTGGATTCGGTCTGCCCCGATAAGTGAGGCGATGAGCACCTGCGGCGGCTAGCAGCTTATGCGCCGCAGGTCACCGAAGACAGGCACGAATTAACATCAGTAAGGCCTCCCCACAATACAACAATTAGGAGGCTTGGATTCGGTCTGCCTGATTAAGGCGGTAAGCACCAGCAAGCAGCTCGACCAGAGTATGAGCTGCAGGTCACCGAAGATAGGCACAAACCAACACTAATAAGTCTCCCCCACAATACGGCAATGAGAAGGCTTGGATTCGGTTTGCCTGATTGTTAGGGCTTGTAAGCCCCTGCAGGCTGAGCAGAGCATGCGCTGCAGGGCACCGAACACAGGCACGCATCAGCGCCTAAAAACCTCCTCACAACATGGCGAAGAGAGGACCCGGATTCGGTTTGCCTGATTGATAGGACTTGTAAGAACCTGTGGCAACTCTAGCAAGTAGAGCAGAGTGTGTGCCGCGGGACACCGAAGACAGGCGCGTATCAACGCCAAAAATAAAAAGAAAGGGGGATCTGTGGGGAGCAACTGGGAGCAACTCGGACTAGACTAAGTTACTGGAATTAAGACTTATTCTATGCATCTGCTTTCCCACAATATGGCACTGAGAAGGGAAACAGCTTCTACACAGCTGCCTCCAGTTCAACCAATAAACTGTGGGACCTGCTCCTGATTGGAGGAGAGCAGCGTACTCGGCGTGTGGGTAGCAGAGTTGGGATTGGTGGAAGAGGACTATAAAGGAGGAGAGAGACGGCATGCACTAGGAACATCTAAGGGGAACATCTAAGGGAACACCTGTGCAGCCCCCGAGAGAACCGGCCGGCGGTGTGCCGCTCCCCTGCGGAAGTGGGGAATGTGGCCAGGGGGAACCGCCCTTCCACGGAGGTGGAAGGGATAGTAGCCAACCCGGGAAGAACCAGCAGCAAACCCGGGGAGGGCCGAGCAGACAAAAGAACAGCGCAGGGTCCTGTGTCGTTCCTCCATGAAGAGGGGGAGCGACACTCAAGGACGTGTGTCACTAACACTTTGCCATACATATCTCCATTTTTTAGCTCAGTAATTTCATTTCCAGTAACTTCTCCCAAGGATTCATAGCAGAGACACTGAAGAAAACGTAATGACTTCATGTCTAACATTGGCGGAATCACCGCCTGCCCTTACGATGGAATCCTGCGTGAATGCGGGTTCGGGAGCACACCCAACAGCAAGGGAAATTACTGGAGCTGCGAAGCGGAGAAACATGGATTTGTTACCATTTAGTCAGTAGGCTCCCATGCCGTAAAAAATGGACAGAAACGAGCCCTCAGAGGGAATACACCCGAGCATTAACTGTGCTTCCTTACGGTGGGAAAACAGATTGGCCAATTACGATTTTCCTTGTTTATGCTGTTGCTCAACTGAAGTGTAATATTTTGTAATCAGAAAATTTAACTTTAAAAAATTATTTGAGACAGACAGGTCTCATCTGCTGGTTCAAGCCGCAAATGCCTTCAATGACTGGAGCAGGGCCAGGCTGAACCTGGAAGCCAGGAATTCGATCCCAGTCTCCCACATGGGTCATAGGGACCCAGCTACCTCCTGCGTCTTCCAGGGTCTGCATTAGCAAGCAGAAGCTGGGGCCAGGAACCCACCCAGGCCCCCATATGTGGGGTGTGGGTGTCCTGAACAGCTGGGCTAAGTGCCTGCCAGGAGCCCGGTCAATCCAGAGCTCCCAGGCGTGTGGCAGGGAATCCGGTCACCGCTGCCTCCCGGACCGCACTAGCAGGAAGCTGGAGTCAGGAGCAGGGGCAGGACTGGGGGGTCCCACCAGCATCCTCGGCACTGTGCCCCCCCCACACACTCCTTTTTTTCTTATGACAAAGTCCACCTGCTAGCTTCTGGCCAGCTGCCCTGGGGCTCCGGCTACCGCCTCTCTCACACGTGCCCCCTCGGGCTCACGCACTGCATCCCCGAAGCAGTCTGGTCCTCTCGCGAGGAGCAGGCGCCCAGGGGAAGCTCCACCGCGGCTCACATCCAAGGCGGATCACGGGCCAGCTCTGCCCTCTTCCTCCCTCCGCTCCCGGGCTCAGGGGAGCGACCCTGGCGCCGCCTCACCCGAGGCCGACGATGGAGCCTCCGAAGGGCCATCTGCATCCAGGTGCCAGCTGGCGACTGTCACATTCGTCGGCCACGCGGACGCCTGGGGGAAGGGGTCTGAGGGAAGAGGCCCCAGCGCCACGCGCCCTTCGCCTGGCAGCGAGGCGGCCCCGGGAGTCCAGCGTGGGGGTCACAGCACCGAGGCGCCGGCCATGATTCCCAGCGACTGGCTCGTGGCAGGACCAGCTGCCGAGGCCGTGGGCGCGGGAAAGGCAGGGTGACCGGAAGCGGCCGGCCGGCGAGGTGACGTGGGCGTGAGGACACTAATTTCCACTCCAGGTTCTCACCTCCGGCAGGAGAGACAGTGCCGGACGGATACGCCGCCGGGTACACAAAGGGAGCATGCGCCAAGGTCCCGGATGAGACAGGTGCATCCTGGGAAGGTGGGCGTGCCAGGCCCAGCGTTGGGGAGGGCTTCATGGCGAGGTTGTGGGGATTGCAGCTCGTTCTAGCTTCTGCTGCCTGGTTAGACCTCGTCGCAGGGACTCGGTATTTGGTGAACAGAGGCCAGCCCTGGAGCAGGGGTGCCAAGGTGCGTCACAGACGAATGAGGAGAGGAGTCCGGGGCAGGTGTTGGCCTGGCGGCTGACCACCCCTTGGGACGCGCGCAGCCCCTGGGCTGGATTCAAGGCTGCGCTGCCGACGCCAGCTTCCTGCGAATGCACCCCCAGCCCCTCGGGACCCTCCCGGCCCTGGCCCCGGTGCCCCTTCATCCAGCACTAAACTGGAGATCGTACGGGAGCCATCCCAGCCGACGCTGCCCCCAGCGTGGGGGGGGGAGCCAGGGCCTGCCCCAGGTGAGGGGCAGCAGCCCTTCCGGAATGGGGGTCTCGGGACCTCACAGCGGAGGCGAGCACTGCCTTCGGGCCGGTGCTTAGCGCAGCAAGTGTGCGTGCTGGGGGGCGGCCACGTACTCTTCCTGGGTTCCTGGGACGGGGTTCTGGCTCCCGTGGCTGGCCGGGGGGCCGGGTGGGCAGGAGCAGGTCAGAGCGTTTGCCTCTGAGGCCCAAGCACCGGGAGCCGACCGCGTGGGGCGCGGCTCTGGACCTGCCGGGCAGGTAGCCAGTTTGGGGTCGTCCTAACCAGGAGCCGTCGCCACCTGCGCAGCGTTGTCCTCCCGCAGCAGCCGGCCGAGGAGTCGTGTCCGCATGAAACGCAGACCTGCCCTGAGCGTTCACGCTGCAGGAAGGTGACACGAGTGACACGGTTGGCAGAAAGGCTCCCGTAGGAGGCCGGGCCAACCCCCCTGCCCAGGGGCACCTGGGCCCAGGCCACCGCTTCGTTTTCCTGTGTCCTTTAGCTCCTCAACTTAAAATACGGCTGAGAAGGCAGGCAGGTGGGGAGCGAGCTCTCCTACTAACAGAAGCGTCGCCACTCGCGAGAGACCAGCCAAGGAGGCAGAATTCTCGCCAACTTAGTTGCCGGTGCGTGGGGGGAGGGGACGGTTCCCGTGCCTTCTGGAAACGGGGTATTTTCAGAAAGGGGCTGGACTCGCACCCCTGGGTCGTTCCCAAAGCGGCCGACATGGGCCTGAAGCCTGGACGATGGCAGCCACTCGGCTAGTGACAGGCAGACAGGAAAGGGGCTGCCGATGACAGCCTGGCACGGGCCCCCGGCGCGCCCTGCGCCTCCAGGTGCGGGTGCTGAGAAGCCAGCAGCTTTCGTTCTTAGCTCTTGGAGCAGAGGCTGGGGAGGCAGAGGGGCGGCACCTGTGGGCGCCGTGACTTCCCCCACGGCTGCTGTGGGACAGGAATGTGACTCAGCGCCCTGAGCACACGGACACCCTCGCCTCGGGGAGTGGGCTCTGGGCCCCGCTTCCTCGTGGGGAGAGAGGCGGTGGCTGCAGGGTGCAGCACGGGCAGAGGCCTGTCCCCCGGCTGTTGGGCGGGCGTGGCTCTTGGCAGGGCGAGCCGCTGGCAGGGACCTGCCTGTTAACCCTGGCGAGTTTCTATTTGACCAAGGGTCACCAGGAAATGACGGCCGAGTCCCCAGCCTGTCCTTGAACCGGGTCTGTGTGGCTGGGAGGAATTCTCTCCCAGTTGGGTGACATTTCCTGGACAGGAGGACAAGCTACGCAGCTCCAGGTCCCCGGCAGGTCCCCACAGCACTGCCCAGGGTCTTGGTGTGGGGGATCACGCGTCTTGTGCGCTCCCAGGTGAGGGAGTCGTGAGGAAGGGCAGTGAGGATGGTGAGGGAGTGTGGAACCCCCAGCACTCCTAAGCCAGGGACAGCGACTGCTGGGAACTGATGGGATGGAAGAGGCGAACGCTCCCTGTACAAACATCCACCTTTGGAGGCACCGAGCTGGGCTGAGGCGATCAGTCCCTCTGCACTCAGGACGGGGAGGTGGGTTCCTTGCCCCGAACTCCATCAAGGTGATGGAAAAGTTGGCGTGAAAGCAAGCGCGCACCTGGAAGAGGAGCCGAGAGCCCTTCAGGGGCGCTCCTGAGGCCGAGGAGGAGGCTCCCTTCCTGGACCTTGTCAAGGTGATGGCCACATGGCTTCATCAACCCTGCCTGCCCCAGGACGTTGGTATGTTCTGGCTTTGCTCCTCTCAACTCCTGACCCTGCAGGTTGTGGCTCCAAAGCTTTGCAAGACCATTGAAGTGTTTGGCCTTCTGAGAGGCAGCAGGACGGCCTGGGGCCCAGGCCTGCTGCTCTCCATCTGTTCTGACACAGGCACGCATGCTCGTGGCCCCACAGGCCCTGCACACACAACACAATGGGGACAGCAAGGGGAGGAAGGCCCAGCGTGCCTGGACTCTACAGAGGCAGCATTAGTGACTGCAAGGCAACAGAGCCAGTGGCACGGGTGACAGATGTCAGCAGCGCCTCCCGAGAGAACTGTTCTAAACACAGCCCGTGAGGACCCCCCCCCCCACTCCTAGGGACCGTCCCTTGGAGCACACACCTCCCATGACAGCATCTCTGCCGTCCCACAGATGGGGACACCAAGGCCCAGAGGAGTGCTCATCCAGGGACACGCAGATGAGGCTGGGTGGGGCGAGCGGAGCGCAGCGCCCTGCTCTGCTTTCCTGAGGTGTGGGGTCTACTCGGAAAGGAGTCGCCCTCTCCGTGGTGGGCACAGCCCTGTCCTAGGAGGGGCTGTGGGCACTTCCGGGTCCTGAGGCGTTGGGATGGGTGGAACCATGCCAGCCCCAGCCTGTGCTGCCCACCCTGCCTGCGGAGCCCCCTCGAGTGCACCCCAGGGGTGGGCAGGGAGGAGCCCAAGGGCAGTCGTAGGCTCCAGGCGCCTTGGCTGCCTGCCGCCAGCCTGGGGATCTGTCCCTGCACCCCTGGAGGGCTCAGTGGCCAGGACTGGAGTGTTCGCTTGTCCACCCGCCCATTGCTCCCTGTGGCCTCGCAGCATTCGCTTGGGGAAACAGGTTGCTGAGTCTCTAAGACTCAGTGTCACCCACTGCAAGGGATGGCCAGAGGGGGCCGTGCGCATGGCCCTGGCCCATGGCTGCAGGTGGAGACTTGGCACACACCCTGGCTGGACGCTGACAGGGCCTGCTGCCACGAGCGGCCTGCCTCAGCATTGCTCCGCGACGGAGACCTTGAGGGTCGCCTTCCCTCGCGGAATCCTGCCTTGCTGTGAAGCACGCAGGGAGCAGCCCTTCTGTGCTTCCGCAGCTGCTGTCCTAACTGGCCATCTTGCGATGAGCCCAGGGCTGGGAGTCAGGGTCCTGAAGGCTGCCCTGGCTCTGGCCAGCTCTGTGTGTCCGCCAGGGGCCACTGTGCATCTCTGCCTCTCCTTTCCAAAAGGACCTTGACCCTGACAGGCTCTCAAGCTGGCATCTGGCAGGCTGAACTCGACAGGAGAAATGACTGGAGGGAAGTCAGAGGAGGGTGCTTCCCCGGGGCACCCTGCACCACTACTCCCTGGGGCTGCGGCCCCTCGGGCCCACAGTGCCCCTCAACCTCCTGCATTCTGGCTGAGGTCGCCTCTGCGGCTGGAACCTGCCTGCCCCGGGTAGGCCAGTGCCTTGACACTGCTTTGCCCAGTGGATGGCAGGAGCTCCGGAAATGGTTCTGAACTGGATTGTGCATGAAACGCATACCGAACAAGCTGTAATACTCCGCCTACTCACAGGACTGCAGTCACGGCTGTCGGAATGCACCCTGGCCTGGGGAACAGGCCCAAGTGGAGGCCAGGTGGCAAACCAAAGCAGTGTGTGGCCCTGTGCCAGGTCTTCCTGACAGCACAGTGTCCACAGACCGGTGGCTCTAGCGGCGAACTGGAATTGGCACAAGCTTACGCATGGGGAACGCGCTTTCTGAGGCTGGGCTCCGGGTCGGCAGAGGAAGTTCAACAAACCCTGTTCCTAAAAGCCACAGCAGAACCAGAGAAATGATCAAGAACTACCATCTGGGACTTCGTAAGTCAACCAAAGGTGGAGAACACATCGAGAAGGGTTTACTTGACAAGATCTTGGGCAAGAGGCATGGGAGTCTGGCACCTTTGTCTGGGGTCTGCTGGAGCCACAAGACCTGCAGCCCTTGCTGACAGAGGAGCTGGCTGCCTTGAACACAAACAGCAGTGACTGCGGGAAAGGCCAGTAGTGTGGCTGGTTTGTGATGACAACCCCAGTTAGGCAAACATCCCACTGTATCACTAGTGGTCAGAACAAGAGATCCATGTACAAGGCTGGGGACAGTGCCCAGTGGAGACTGGAGAGGGCTCGGGTGTACCCTGCCTGGACTCTGCGCTCTCCAAACTACACACCGATTATTGGCTGGCCACATACACTGATCCAGAGGCAACTACTAGGAAGCAGACTTGAAAATAATTAAAAAAAAGAAACTTGTAAACTGAACAGACACACCAGTAGCTGCACATTAAGGCTGACTGAAGATTTCTTTGGATTTTTTCAGTGAAGTCACTTGAAGTCACAGCAATAACCACCCCTGTGGGTCTGATGAATCGGCATCCAGAGCTGTTACAGTATCGAAAGGGCCCAGTTTTTTAAATCATGAGACAGGCGGAGAAAGAGGAAAGCAGGACCCACACTGAGGGAAGCAGTCCCTGGTCAGTCCCTGATGGATTTAGTAGACCGAAGACTTCAACTGGAAGCAGCTATTGTAGTCACGTCATTGAGTGATGGGGATATTCTGAAAACTTCGTTAGGTAATCTCATCGCTGTGTTAACACTGTAGTGTGTGCTTATACAAACTATACGCTATAGCGTCAGCATCTGACATGGCCTTTTAAAAAAGTTATTTGAAAGGAGGGGAAACAGATCTCCTATCCACTGGTTCACCTCCCCAGATGGCTGCAACAGCCGAAGCTGAAGCACGTGGAAGCCAAGAGCCTGGAGCTCCATCTGGGTCTCCTGTGTGTGTTCCTGTGTCACCTTCCGCTGCTTTTCCATGAACAAGGAGGTGGATC